TCTTGTCCTCAAGATTTCAAATCATGGAGTTAGGAGTGTATAAATGAGACTTAGAGTTTAAAAAAAAAAAATTTCTAGAACGTTGAAGCCATCCAATTGGACATGTGATGTTATTAGCAATTGTGATAAAGTTCCACGGTTTGAGAGAGAGCGTTGAGCTATGAAGATTAAACTAATAGCAATTTCTTTTGGGAAAGGTTTCTATGCTTCCCCTATAGCATAGAAGTTCTATCCTCCTCTACTATCCAGCCGTCTCCTTTTGATCAAGAGAGCCGCTCACCGTTTGATCTTAGATATAATGTCTCAAAGTATTTTATTTTTAGTTTTTTTTGTACAAATTGTATGAATCTAAAATTTGGTATGTGCCATCTTCTCATTGGTACACACCTATAAAAAATATTAAAAATAATTTTTCAATAAAATATAATGACCAAAATACCTTTCGAAACTTTCAAAAATACTTTGGTCATTTTATTTTATTAAAAATATTTTTTTTATATTTTTTGCTAGTGCGAGTTTAACATAAGAATCGACAACCAAAATTTAATGTCAAAATAGTTTATAGAAAAAAATAAAAAATAAAATAATATAGAGGTATGACATTGTGTTTGAGGCAATCTTAACCCTCCATTTAAAATAGACCGGTTGGATAAAAAGGATGATAGAACTTCTATGTTGTAGAAAAAACACAGAAAACTTGCCCATTTATTGAACGTTGACACCCTTTACGACCATCAATTTCGTTTTTTCTCCCACCATAGCAATCTCTCTCTCCTACCCCACTCTTAAATCTCTCTCTACCCAAAAAAAACGTAACAGTTCTCTCTCTCCCCATAAAAACATAAAAATTCATTCTCTCTCTCCCTCTCTCTCCATGAAGGAAAGAGACTACACTTCCTCATTAACTAACTTTTGCACACCCACCACACCCACAGGAACCATTTCCCTTGCATAATAATACAACTCTATAAAGAGCAGTGTCATTTGGTAGGTCCTCCACTTCAATGCTCCTTAAATATTCCACATGGTGGGCTATTCTCCCCATCCCTGCTTTTCTCAGTTTCCCTCTCTCTCATTTTTTGCAGGTGCTTTAATAATCTTTTCCTTCTCCCAGTTTTTTGCCGGTAGCTTCAGAAGCAGCTGCTCGAAGCCCATCTACCTTGCTATGTTATGCGTTCCAAAAGCTTGAAAGAATGATGAGAATCCAAAACTTGCACTGTCATTAACACTATCCATGGAAAAAAGCAAAAAGAAAAATCCAAGACATGCACTGTGATTGGTACTGTGCTCACGTTCTTTGATAAATATACGCCTTTATCCCTTTGAAAACAAAATGGGTTAAGATAAAAAAAACCCAAACGTGCAGTTTTATATCAAAACAATCGACATTCAGAACAAATTGGCTACGTTTTCTTTACCTTTTTTCTTTTTTTTTATAATAAAGAAATTTGCAATAAGGGCATGTTCAGTACTTCCCAATCTTTTGAATTTTATTTCAAGAAAGGAAATTCCAATACAGCATTCAATATTTAAGTTCCAACCCCATTCAGAAATCATTTAATCCCACTAATTTTGAAATCGATATCCATAAATACCACATTTCCTAATGGAAAAAAAGACAGGTTGAGGCTGCTTCTAAAACCAACCGATGGTTTCAAAGGAGTGCCCTAGAATTAAGGACAATAATGACTGTAAATCTTGAGGAAAATGATTTAATATCAAAAGAAGACCGGTTAAAAATCAACAAAATTTGAGTGGAATTGGATTGAGCTGAGATGCAAAACGCTCACGGCCAGGTACAGTTGGTACCACGCACTAGATTTTCTGCAAGAATCTGTCTCAATGCAAAATGAATTATACAAAATATTGC